CTTGGAGAGTCGAAAGGAAAGGGGCCCAACTCTAGGTAAACTTGGTGGTAGAGGGAAGATGTTCAAGCGGTAGTTAAGGCGAAGAAAGAGTGCTTTAAAATGAGGCAGAAAGATAGAACTGAGAAAAACCTTAAGAGCTATGGATTGGCTAATAAGAAGGTCAAAAAAGTAGTGAAAGAGGCTAAGTTGAAAGCGTATAATGACCTATACACTAGACTAGATAGTAAAGAGGGAGAGAAGATGGTATACGAACTTGCTAAGATACAAGAGAGGAAAACAAAAAATTTTAATCAAGTTAAGTGCATCAATAGTGAGGATTCTAAGGTATTGGTGAAGGATGAAGAGATTAAGGAAAGATGAAAGAACTATTTTGAAAAACTATTAAATGAGGAACATGGAGGTACGACAATAGAGGAAGAAATAATCAGTAATATGATAAACCAAGACTATAGGTTCTATTGCAGGATTAAGAACTTTGAAGTGAAAATTGCACTTAAGAAGATAAAATCAAATAAGGTTTTAGGACCCGGTGATATCTCTATTGAAGCTTGGAAGTGTTTGGATAAAAAGAGGGTTACTTGATTGACTAGGTTGTTTAGCAAAATTTTATTGACTAGGAACATGCCAGATAAGTGGAGGAAGAGTATTTTAGTACTAATCTACAAGAATAAAGGAGATGTCTAGAATTACAAAAACAATAGAGGAATCAAGCTAATGTGTCATATAATGAAAGTGTGAGAGAGGGGGATGGAACGTCGATTGCAGGATATAACTGAGGTGTTAGAGCATCAATTTGAGTCTATGCCTAATAGGTTAACAATGGAAATGATTTATCTTTTGAGGAGAGCAATAGAAAAATATAAAGAAAAGAAAAGAGACATTTATATGGTATTTATCAACCTTGAGAAAACATATGATAGAGTGCCCCAGAATATAATATGGTAGGTATTAGAGAAAAAAGAAGTGACAAAATGTTACATTGATGTGATTAGGGACATGTATGAAGGGGTGGTGACCACTATTAGACCGCCTGCTAGAGAGACAAATAAACTTCCTATCACTGTATGGTTACACCAAAGATCTACCTTAAGTCCTTATCTTTTTGCTTTAGTTATGAATGAGTTGACGAGAAATATTCAAGATGAAGTGCCATGGTATATGCTTTTTGCAAATGATATTATACTAGTGGATGAGACTAGAGAATGAGTTAACACAAAGTTAGAGATTTGGAGAAAAGCTCTTGAATCTAAAAGATTCTAGATAAGCAGAACTAAAACAGGGACATGGAGTGAAAATTTAGTAACAGTAACAATGAAAGCAGAGGAGAAATGAAGATTGAGAACCAAGAACTGCCTAAAAGTGAACATTTTCGTTATTTAGAATTGATTGTCATAACAGCATAAGAGATTGATGCGGATGTGACCCATATGATTAAGGCGGGATGATGTAAGTGTAGAAGTGCGTCTGGGGTATTGTGTGATAAACGAATACTCACTAGACTAAAATGTAAGTTTTATAGAATGACTATTAGACCAGTGATGTTGTATAGGAAGGAGTGTTGAGCAACCAAGAAACAACATGTAGATAAGATGAGTGTGGCTAAGATGTGAATGTTAAGGTGGATGTGTGGCAAGACTAGACAAGACAAAATTATGAATGAGTGTATTCGAGAATGGGTAGGAGGAGCACCGATAGAAGATAAGATGATAGAGAATCGATCGAGATGGTTTGGTCACATTCAACGGAGACTAACAAAAGTAGTAGCGAAGAGATGCGATGCTGTAACAGTAAATGGAAGTGTTAGGGGACGGAGTAGGCCTAGATTAATGTTGGCTAGTGTTGTACATAGAGATATGAACCTACTTAATTTGACTAACGAAATGGCCTTTGATAGGGTCGCGTGGAGAAGAAAGATTCATATAGTCGATCCCGTTTGATACGACTTAAGGCTTGGTTTGGTTTGATTTGGTTTGGTATTTTATTACACATCTTTTCGTAAAAAATCAAAAAGTTATCCCAAACATATATTTTTTTCTCTACTTTTTCAACTAAAAAGTCAAAAAGTGTAATTATATAGTAATCCCAAACAACGATTACGTTGTGAAAGAGTACTTAATGTAATGATTTAGGGATGGCAATTGGAACCCGGCCCGACGGGGACCCGATCCCCCGACCCCGAATTGAGTGGTTATTCCCCGAAAAATACCCCCGACGGGCCGGGGATGGTATTAAAAATTGAATCCCCGATGATATTCGGGCCGGGGACGGGGATACATGTTTCAGCCCTGGACCCGGCCCGACCCCGTCCCCGATCCCCGCCCCGCTGAATCCCCGATGTAAAATTACTATATTGCCCATTTTATATATATTATATGTGTGAGTGTGTGTAGGGTTTGGGCACTGTTGGCAGACGCAACCCACACACACACATCTTCTCGCTCTCTCTCATCTGTTCCTCACCGCAGCCGCTCATGGTGTCTCCTCTCACTGCACCTCCGTTCTTCTTCTCTTCCTCTCACAGCACCGTCTCTTACCGCACCGCCGCTCACCGCACCGTCTCTCACCGCACCGCCGCTCACCGCACCGTCTCTCACCATGTCGGCGACGGCTCCTCCCTTACCGTCGTTCCTTACCGCAGCTCCTCCTCTCTCCCTCTCACGGTATCTCCTTGTCTCTCTCTCTCTCTCACGGTATCTCTTTGTCTCTCTCTCTCTCACGGTATCTCCTCCTCCTCTCTCTCTCTCTCTGTTTTTTTGATTTTGTTCTCTGTTTATTGATTTTGTTCTTCAGATCTGAAAATGATGAAGACGAAGATGAACATGTTGATCTGTGTTGATGAAGGTTTTTGATTTTTTGATCTGTTTGTTGATGAACATGTTGGTCAAGGCTTTTGATTTTTTGATCTGTGTTAGATCTATTTGTTGATCTGTGTTAGATCTGTTGTTGAAAATCTCTCTCTCTGTTTGTTGATGAACATGTTGGTCAAGGTTTTTAATTTTTTGGTCGGGAATTTTGGGGTCGGGGAAACCCGATCCCCGTTAGAGGACGGGGACGGGGGCGGTTATGGGTTCCCTGTCGGGGATCGGGGCCGGGGACGGGGATATTTCCACCATCGGGGATCGGGGACGGGGAGTGTGATCCCCGGCCCCGCCCCGCCCCGTTGCCATTCCTATAATGATTACACTATCTTATATAAGGAAAATGAGTGAGAGTACTAATTAGTGCTATCACTAATGATGTGCCAGTGGATCCCACCCATTGTCACAGTGCTATTGTGCATTTTTTTTTTAATGGATGCCAACTCATTAGTGCTTGCTTAGAGCACCACTTTTAGTGGTCTTTATCATTGTTGCTTATATAATATCACCCATTAATAAAAAATTATAAATGAATTACATTAAAATTTTTTACCTCTCCTTAATGTAGCAATATTATAGTCCTGAAAAAAAATATGAATAAATAATATTACCATCTAGAGAAAATAGTATATAAATTCACTTCATAAATCTACTTTTCAAAACAAATAATGTGTAATAGAGATAAATTGACTGATAATTAAAAAGAATATAAAAAAGATAATTACCTTAAATATTTTAATAAACTTTCACATTATTAAATTTAAAAAATAAATTTAATTTTGAATTAAAATATAGGGGGGAATACCCTATTAGTGGGACAACAAAAATTATTATAAAAAAATAAAAATTTATAATTTTAATTATTAACATTTATAATATTTTTCCACTAGGAGTCTAAAATATAACTGCACACCATATATTTAGGCCTCGTTTGAGAATAAGTTATTTTAGTAATTTTTTAGTTTTTTATGAAAATATATATAGAAAAATCGAGAGAGTAATGTGACAACTTCAGAGGGATATTGGGCAGATAGGTTGCTGTTCAGAATGCTGTTATTAGAGGAGGAGGAGAGTTCTTTGTCACTATATAAATCATGCATATCATTATTGTGTATCCCTAATCTAATGTTGTCATCTTTACTGTAAATAGAGAAACAACAATTTTGATATAGTTCATATTTTACAAAATTCTGACTTACAAACGATATATTTTTTTTGGCCATTTTTTTACTTCTTCATTTAAAAAAGAAAATGAATTAAATGGGTTAATATATGGGGGCCGCTCCCGTTTGTAATAATCTCTCGAAAATGTTTTAATTTTGGATATTTTGTGACGTATTATATGAAACATCTTTTTTTACATAGTGCAAAGAATTATTCTTTTGCTTGCATTTTGACTTTTTGACTAAAATTAAATATTATCAAACAAACCTTAGTTACTACCAAACCACACAGTGACCGTTTGGGTTCCAAACTTTGGAGTGGAACTTTTTGGGTAAGAAAAATATTTGTTTTAGAAAGATAGTTAAAAGTTAATTTTTTAATTTTTTTTTAAATATGTAAAAAATATAAGAAATGATGTGATTCAAAATAGATTAACAGTTAGAAGATGACTTTTAACAATCTTTTCAAAATATCCATTAAACTCATAAAATTTACTTTTAATGATATCGATATATCTAATAAGTGTCAAATTGTAATTTTAATACTACATTATTAAGAGTCATTTAAAAGTGATAAATTAAAAAAATATAAATAATTTATGTAAAATAGCAAAAAAATCAATCTAATTTTTTATATATATATATTTTTTATAAAAAAATTAAAAAAACCCAGCAAAAATAACCACATCCGGAACACCCTTTACTTGCACCAAGGATCCTCTAGAGTGAAATTTTTCTAAAATTTTCTAGAGTACTACATTGTGTGGTTGAGATTTACTGGCAAGTCACATCAAAAAAATTGATGTGACTTCCCAATAAATCTCAACCACACAATATAGCACTCTAAGAAACTTTAAAAAAAAATCACTCTAGAGGATCCTTGCTCCTTTACTTGCTCCCACACCACACAGTTGAAAAATGTGCAACTTCAATCGAAAAACCAATATAAAATGACTTACCCACCGTTGCTAATCACGTATACCATATCCCCTTCTTTCTCTCTTCCCACCTTCTCAGCTCCTCTCTCTCTCTCTCTCAATTTGTTGTTTTTCTTTTTCTATTAACAATGGAATTTGGAGCTTCCTTCTGGTACAAATCTCTACCCACCCCTTTTTGTATCTTGTTCTTCTCATTCACAGTCTCTTTCACTCTCTTATCTCTCTTGCTCTTCATACTAAGACTAATCAAGCCATGGTGTAACTGCGAAATCTGCAGAAGCTACGTCACCCAGAGCTGGTCATCAGAGTTCGACAACCTCTGCGACTGGTACACTCATCTTCTCCGAAAATCCCCAACCGGTACAATTCACATTCATGTTCTCAGCAACACCATCACTGCAAACCCTGAAAACGTCGAACACATTCTCAAAACTCGATTCGAGAATTACCCAAAAGGAAAATCCTTCTCTGCAATCTTGGGTGATCTTCTGGGTAAAGGTATCTTCAACGTCGATGGCGATTCGTGGAAGTTTCAGAGAAAAATGGCGAGTCTCGAGCTAGGAAGTGTCTCGATACGATCCTACGCTTTCGAGATAGTCAGCTCGGAGATTCAAACCAGGCTCATTCCTCTCTTATCATCGCATGCAGCCCAAAAAGGCAACATTTTGGATTTACAGGACGTGTTTCGGAGATTTTCGTTTGATAATATATGTCGATTTTCATTCGGGTTAGACCCCGGTTGTCTTCAATTAATGTTATCGATCTCTGATTTCGACAAAGCATTTGATTTGGCGTCGAAATTGTCTGCAGAGCGAGCCATGGCGGCTTCGCAGTTGATATGGAAGCTAAAAAGGACATTAAATTTGGGTACTGAGAAGAAGCTGAAACAAGCTATTAAAATTGTTGACCTCCTCGCTGAGGAGATGATCAAGAACAGGAGAAAGATGGGTTTTTCGACACAGAAAGATCTTCTTTCGAGGTTCATGGGGACTATAGATGATGATCAGTACCTCAGAGACATTGTCATTAGCTTCCTCGTGGCTGGCCGCGACACGGTGGCTTCGGGGTTGACTAGCTTCTTCTGGCTGCTGGCTCAGCACCCGGAGGTTGAGAAGGCGATTCGCGATGAGTCGGACCGTGTCATGGGTCCGGTTAGCCAGTCGGGTGAGTTTTTGATCCCGGAAAGTACCTTTCATCGGTTTTTCCATAGATTTCATTTTTACAATTATTTTGGCTAAATTTGATCGAAAAATGCACTTTAACTGATCAATTTTTTTTTTTTATGACAATCTTAAAAAAATTAAACAAGTTACAATTATTAGATTGATTTAATTTTTTTTCGAATGAAATATAGGAAATGTCTGACAAATAAACGATTTGGGTCTTCAAAACGAAGCTCGTGGCCTCATAGGCACAAATAATGCCACCTACTCCAGATTTTAGATTAAAAGGATGTTTCTCCCAAAATAAATAAATAAATAAATAAAAAATTTAACAACAAAATTTTAAAAATATCATAATAAATGCACAGGACAAAATATTTTTTCAAAAAAGTTTATTTTTGGAGACAAAATTTTGATTCAAAAAATATAATAAGGGTAAATTATCAAAATGTCATAATAATTGGACTTAATTCTCATAAAATCTTATTTAAATAAATCCCAAGAAAATCCTAGCTAATTTTTTTTTGGTTACGATTTTTTTGCATGTATCGCTAAAAAAATTAAACAAGTTACAATTATTAGATTTATTTAATTTTTTTTCGAATGAAATATAAGAAATGTCTGACAAATAAACGATTCGGGTCTTCAAAACGAAGCTCGTGGCCTCATAGGCACAAATAATGCCACCTAGTCCAGATTTTAGATTAAAAGGATCTTTCTCCCAAAATAAATAAATAAATAAATAAATAATTTAACAACAAAATTTTAAAAATATCATAATAAATGCACAGGACAAAATATTTTTTCAAAAAAGTTTATTTTTGGAGACAAAATTTTGATTCAAAAAATATAATAAGGGTAAATTATCAAAATGTCATAATAATTGGACTTAATTCTCATAAAATCTTATTTAAATAAATCCCAAGAAAATCCTAGCTAATTTTTTTTTGGTTACGATTTTTTTGCATGTATCGCTAAAAATTGATAATTAATAACTTTTGTTGGTCGCGATTTTTATAGATTGTCTCTAAACTTACAATTAGTGTTTTTTATGTGATAAATTTTTTAAACTGTCGTCGAAAATTAAAAATTAGTAATTTTTTGTGACATTTTTTTAACTGTCGTTAAAATTTATAATTAGTGATATTTTTTGTGACAATTTTCAAACTATCGCTGAAAATTAACGATTAATAACGTTTTTAATAGTATGTAATGAGAAACACCATTAATTATCATCAGACCTATTGGACAATAAGTTCATCTATTAAGATCTATATGTAAGGCCTCGTTTTGGAACAGATTTTTTTAGTAACTTTTTAGTTTTTTGGCTAAAATGTGATGTAAAAAAAAATAGTATGTTTGAGATGACTTTTTGACTTTTTACGAAAATATGTGCAAAAAGTAGAGAGAAAAGAAAATATTTGAATTTTTGGTATGAATTGTTAGCTTTTTGATTTTTTTAATAATTTTTTGATTTTTTAACTAAAAAGGTCATTTGCCAAACGAGGCCTAAGTCCCCATAAAATAATTCATTACTAAATATCCAATTTTATTACTTAAAAATACAATAATGACACTTAAATATTTTGTACATAAAAAATAATTTTATTTTTAAATTTTTGTCTCTGAATTTTAATTTATTATAGCAAAAAGTTATTTTTTATAATATAACATAAAGTAATTTTTTTATTTTTTTTTCTAATATAGATAACAAAACATTATATTTTTCTTACTTTTTTTCTTATTTATTCATATAAAAGGAAAAAAAAAATCATTTTCGAAGTTATGTAATCAATTTTTTTCCTTCCCTCTCATATGTTCCCAAACAGCATGTAACAAATGGTCTTATTCATGCTTCAATTCAATAATCTATTTTGGCTTTGTGTTTGATCTAGCTTCTTTCGGATGTATACTTTTTTTCGCCCTATATTTAATTTTTAATTTTTGTTATGCCAACAGGTCTAGCTCAAGAACTTTCAAGCTTTGATCAAATGAGAGAGATGTATTACTTACAAGCTGCAATTTATGAGAGTATGAGACTCTATCCACCAGTTCAATTTGATTCAAAGTTTTGTGAAGAAGATGATACTCTCCCAGATGGTACTTTTGTGAGAAAAGGCACCAGGGTTACCTACCATCCCTATGCAATGGGTCGGATGGAGCGGATTTGGGGGCCAGACCACCTTAAATTCAAGCCCGAGAGGTGGTTGCAAAGCGGTGTTTTCACTCCAGTCAGTCCTTTCAAGTACCCGGTTTTTCAGGCCGGACTTAGGGTTTGTTTGGGCAAGGAAATGGCGCTTGTGGCGATGAAAAGTGTTGCTATTTCATTAATCCGGCGGTTCGATATCCAAGTGGTGACCCCAAGCCAGGCACCGACGTTCGTGCCAGGTCTGACCGCCACTGTGAGAGGCGGTCTTCCGGTGGTGATTAGTGAGAGGAGAGACTAATCTGGGAGAGACCACCATTGTGTTCTTGACTAGTGGTGTTATATGCGTGTGTTTAAAGTTGAAGAGTCTCCTAATGCATGCACAAATCCACGGTTTAGTTAGAAGAATGAAAATGAATAGTAGTAACATTTATGATCTGATGGCTCTAATGGGTTTGTGTTGCTAGAGGTTGTATGAGTTTTTCCTTGTGTAATTTTAGATAACTATGCACATGTAAATCTGATTAGGCATGAAATAAAGGAGTGTCATCTTTAGTCCAAATTTAGAGTTAAAAGGCATTGTTTGTGTCCGTGAGATTCATTGTGAATTTTACTTCAATGATTTAAATTATTTATTTTATCAAACATTCTATATATTTTATTTAAATAAAAAAATAACTTAATTCAATAATTGTAACTTGTTTAATTTATCGAGTTTTTAACAAAAAAAAATTAATTTTTAAAAACATAAATTTTTTAAATTAAAAAGTGATAAATTAAATAAGTTAAAATTATTAAATTAATTTAATTTTTTATATAAATAAAATACATAAAATGTCAAACAAAATAAATTATTTAAATTATTAAAATAAAATCTATAACCAGCTCTACAGATCCCAACAACATCTTTCAATTCAACATGTGAGCAGTGGGGATCGTCCTCCTCTTGAAATAAAAAGGGCAAATTACATATACACCCCTCCAGGTTTGGTTAAATTACAGATACCCCTGAGGTTTCGGAAATTACATCCCGCCCCTTGAGGTTTGTATTTTCATAACAATTTACCCCCTGAGGTTTATATTTCATAACAAATTACCCCCTAATTTCTTATGCAAATATAGCATTCAGGGGAGAATTCGTAATTTCTCAAACCTCAGGGGTATCTATAATTTTGTCAAACCTGGAGGGGTGTATATGTAATTTGCCCAAATGTGTATCAGATATGCAATTAATGCTATCACATGGCGCTAAACATTGGCATTATTGGTCTGTACTTATTGCTATCCCAGGATATTTATAGGTACGAGTGTGAAAATGAACTGAGTGCCGTTTTGGAACCAAAATAGGAAGCCACGTTTTTTATTTTTGATCCAAAAACGCAAGTGGTAAAAACGTAATAAAATTGATTTGGGAAATTATAAAAAAATAAGTGTGAAATTATAAATTGGGACTTATGAAAAAAAAAATAAAAAAGTAAAATTTTTATGTTGAGTAAGGGTATTTTGGTCATTTTAATTTGATTTGACACCATAAATAAATATTAAACTAAAAAGTCAAAAGCTAGTTTTTTACCAACTTTTCAAATCACTTTTCAAAATGCTAAAAAGCTTCGTAAAAAGTTAAAAGTCAATTTTTTACCAACTTTCCAAAACACCCTGAGATTTATTATAGCCCAAAACTCGCTCACGATTTTGGGTGAAATCCGATCCTGTTTGTGGGCTCGCTTAAAACTCATTCAAGGCCTACCTGAGGTTAAGTATTTTTTTTATTGAAAATAATAAAATTTTAATAGAAAAAATTAAAAATAAATTATTCAGGTCCGCTTAAGCCCAAGCCGAGGCTCAGGCCTGACCCACCGGCTCGACTTGTCCAAGGCCCGAATATTCCTGGGCTTGGGCCAGGGTCAAATTTTCTGACCCATGGCCGACTCGGCCCAAATTTTGACGGGAGTCCGCAAAACCCGATATGGGCCGGGCAAGACTCGGGTCCGAATGAGCGTGGCCCAGCCAAATTTACACTCCTATTAATTGGCCAGATTTTCTCTCCTCTACAATAGACTGGAATGTATTATTTATCAAAAAATTTATATCAATTCAATAATCATAAGTATATTAATTTATAATATTTATTTGTAAAAAAAAATGATAAATATTAATTGAAAGCTAGGGAATTCGTTTGGAAAGAACATTATTAGCATAATTTTTTGATTAATTTAGCCCGGTTAAAATTAGTTCCATTTGAAAACTGTTTTTAAAATTTTTTTAATTTTTTATAAGAGCAAAATTAAAATAATTTTGATTTAAATATGACATTTATTTTATTATTTTTTTAAATTTATTTTATTTTATTTTTTTACTTTTTTAATCTCAACCTAAATTTAACTCACTTATCACGTAGACTCCTGATTTGACCATGTAGACTCCGATAACCGTTGCCAATCCAACATGTAGACTCCCAATTTGAACGACAAATTTTGAAATGGATTGAACAAATAAATGGTTTGTCCAATCATATTTTTTGAGTGCATTTAAAAAGCTTCGCTAAATTACACTCACATCTTGAGATTTTTATTTAATACATATTCTTTTCTTATATTTAAAAAATTATATTTTTTTCATCAAATTTATAATCTCATTACAAATTATTTCTTGAATTATTGATATCATATCTTAAAATTTTTTAAATGACCTTCTTGCCTTTTTTTTCTATCATCATGATTACATTTTATAATTTTTTATCATTAAATTTTATCTGAACATATTTTTATTGAATGATGATATACAAACATAAATTTTATATAAAATTTTTAAACACATAAACATGATTTATATTTAAAACAATATTACTATCACAACATTTTTATAAATTTTTATATATAAATATAATTTTTTAGTTTTATTTCCATTACTATATCTAAATTAGATCAATTTAATTTTAATATATTTAAAAAGCACAAAACTTGTATAAAAAATTTTAAAAAAAAATTCATTGAATAAAACAAAATAAGATAATGTATTGAATTTTTATGTTTTTGTAACTTTTTGTATTTGATGAATTTAAAAAAGAATCACAAAATATTATACTTTTTAAGTATATCTAGATTAGATCTATCTAAAATATAAAAATAAAAATTGTTTAAAATATTAAAAAAATCAGAAAAAAAGATGAAAAATTAAAAAAAAAAACTTAATTTTTTGTGTGAATTAAACTAAAAAAGATGATTGTTATTTTCTTAAAATGACATGAACAAAATATTTGTATTATTTTATTAATTTATACGTATAAAGATTAAATGACAAATATGTTATTTTAATCTGACAAGAGAATAAGTGTAATATTTTAAATATAAAAGGGATTTATATTAAACAAAATCTCAAAAAAAAATGTTAATTTACCGTAAGAGTACTAATTTCATACAATATTCTTATATATCATACTATTAAATTTGACACAATGAATAGCAAATTGCTAGTGTGCTTAACAATAACAACTACGGAAGTTGTTCTGACATTTTATAAATTAAAAAAAAAACAATATATTATATAATATATATATTATTTTAAGTGTAATCTTTGGTCTTTTCATGTGATATTTCAGATATTATAATTGGTGAAAAAATTAAAATTTATAATTTTGTATTATGTGATTAAAAAATATAAGAGACATAATAAATAAAAATTAATAAAAAAATATTAACACTAGATATTCTAAAAACACACCGAATAATTTTCTATGAAAGTGGGACAGTTTTAAAAGCTAGTTGTACTTTAGAAAAACTCGCCGTTTGTTTTGGGAGATAGAATGGAAGAGATTGATAATGAGGAAATTAATAGTGAGGGGATTAATAATAAGAAATTGTTAAATTATTTTTATATAAAATAATAAAACAAATAAAAAAATATAAAAAATTAAACATTATATTTAAAAAAAATTCCCAATATATAAAAAATAAAAAAAATTTCTAATCCTCTCACTATTTTTCTAATACCATCTCTACTTCTTCCTTACCAATCCCCTTTCAAAGGTATTAGTAATTAATACAAGAGATAATAGTCCCAAGACTATTTCTACAGACAAATAAGGACATTAATAATATCTTGATATTACTAGTTCTAATATCCTCCTGTAACCTAATACAAACGGGTGAGGTATTGAGAAGATGCATTTGTCTTGAGACTCTAGCAATGTTCCCTATTCTGTCTTCTTTATTCTATCTCTCTCTACTGGATTGGGAATGTGGGAAGCACTAGTTGTTTGATTGCAGCACGAGGGGTTATAAATCCAATGTCTCCACCGCCAAATCCCCATTGAGATAAGGTGGGCTCTCGCCCCTTGTTTGTAACCTTTTTTTTTTTTTGTTTGGGGGGGGGGTCCACACTTTAGTTCTTGTACTATTTTATTTTTTTATAATTTTAATTAATTTAATTTTAACTCTTAATTTATGATTTTAACTTGATTTAATTTAATTAATTGTAATTATTAACATTTTTTTTATAAAAAATATTCAAATATGCAACATGTATCATACTGTTAGGGTAAAATTATAAATTTACTCGACTCAGTAAGTTAATCTCATCCAATTCAGTGATCATTTTTTATTCGGATTGTGAAAAAAATCGAAAAAATCCACCAAACTGATTGAATCAAACCAAAATATCGATATTTGGTCTGTTTTTTTTAACAAAAATTGGTTAGTGCGGTTTTAAATTTGATTTTTTTCGATTTTCAATTCCATATCGATGCAAGCACTTTATGCACCTACTTAAATCGAAATTGACCACTTTAACATATATTTTATTTATAATATATATATATATATATATATATATAACTTAATAATATAATGATATTAACAAGTATATTAAATTATTAATTTCAATTAATTAACAGTATCATCCTTATAACCTAAGTCAATATACTCTTATTATATATAGGGGTGTTTTGGAAAGTTGGTAACAAGTTGGCTTTTGGCTTTTTACCAAGCTTTTTGACTTTTTTGGAAGTGATTTGAAAAGTTGGTAAAAAGCTGACTTTTTTTATTTTTGGTTTAATATTTTTTAAAAATGTCACATCATTCCAAAATGATTAAAATATCCTTACTTTTTATTTTTGAATTAATTAATTAAAATTTTTCAGAGGGTAGTTTAGTAAATTTGGGTGTTGCGTTTTTGGTCTTCCCAAATGGGAATTTCAGCGTTTTGGCCCTGTTTGGCGTGTTGGTCTTGGCCAACAAAAAGCTGCGTTTTGACTGTGTTGCCAAAACGGCACATAATCTTAACTCTAACTCACCATTCTTGAAATCTTAGTATTTATTATTAATTTTTGTTTGTATTTTTGTTAATCTAGAAATTGTAAAATATTTATTAGATTGATTGATAAGATATGTTTGAAATAGTTGACAAATGACTAATTCAATATTTTTACATAAATGAGTGATTATACTTTAAAAAAATGGCTTAAATTTGAAATAGATTAAACCGATTAAATCGAACCGAGTCAAACTATTTCAATTGGTGTGGTTCGATGCGATTTGATAGGAGAAATGGTCTGTATCAGTACTC